CCATCTCTCCATCCATCCATCCATCCACCCACCCATCCATCCATCTCCTTGTATTTCTGTGCATGTCTGCCTGTCTGTTGTCTTTATCTCTGTCTCTCTGTCTGTCTGTCTGTCAGCAGCAGCAGCTCCAGCACCTGTCTCACCACACTCCAGGTATTCCTCTCACTCCTCACCCTTCAGGTCTGTCTCTGGGCGGCACATCAGGGCTGCTGGCCCTCACCGGGGCTCTAGGAGTCTCTGCCCACCTGGCCAACAAGGACGAACGCAACCATCTAGACCCCGAGCACCTGCGAGGTGAGTGTCTGAGTATCTGAACTGTCTATGTGCACTTTTAATGTCACACATGGGGTTATTAAATGACTGAAATAATAATAGTAACAATAAATGTAATATATCTTTACTCATTATAGGAATAGGTCACCCAAAAATGAAAACTTGCTGACAATTTACTCACCCTCAGGCAATGCAAGATGTAGATGAGTTTGTTTCTTCATCAGATTTAGAGAAATTTACCAGTACCTCACTTGCTCACCAGTGGATCCTCTGCAGTTAATGGGTGCCGTTAGAATGAATCCAAACAGCTGATAAAAATATCACTGTAATCCACCCTGGATTGCAAACATGCAACTTTTCACTTAAAACATTAATTGATGAACTGGAGTCGTGTGGATTATTGTGGATTATTATGATGTTTTTATCAGCTGTTTGGACTCATTCTGACGGCACCCATTCACTGCAGAGGATCCACTGGTGAGCAAGTGAACAAATTTTTTGAGTGAACTATTCCTTTAATAAAGACTTCAACAAGGCACAAAATGCATGCAACTGGTAAATTTTCCTAAGAAAGTTTATTGTGCACCTCATAAATATGATTTGTCCAGCGTTAAAGGGTGCATGATAAGATAGTGATGGTGCAAAAGTTGGCCTAAAAAACACAAAATGAAACATAACAAGAATGAGGGTGTGTTGAGTCGGTCCGGTTGATTGGATAGACTTCTGAGAAGCCTTGAAAGTCTGATAGACTGAAGGCCAGAGGGGCGACTTGCTCAGGGAGCTTAATACAATGGATGTATTTTTATTGCACCCTGAATGGATTTTTCAGCATGACCTTGGCTTGCTATGGAATTGTTGTTATTATTATCTAGACTGACGTCAATCCCCAACCCCTCCTTCTCTTTCTGTCTCTCTCTCTCCTCGGCTCCCAGAGGGTGCGCCCAGCAGGGTGAGTATCAAACTTGTGTGTTTGTATGTGTATATGTGTGCCTCCACCCCACTGACTTTGATAAACGACTTTAAAGAGAAATACGGATTATGAAATCCGACCATCCTTTCAGGACTCTCTAAACAGCACTGTTCCTGCCCTCTGCCATTAGTGCTGAGGAAAAGTGTTCATTCTGTACTTTTGATATAACAAACCATAATTCTCTGTCATTTGGTTGCATCATAGTTAGACTTAAAGGTACAGTCCACGCAAAAAAGAATCTTGCTAGCTTATTTACTTACCATCATGCCGTTCAAAACCTTTATGACTTGATCAGCTACGAAAGGTCACATATTCAGTCAGTAACTATTTGGAAGCTATAATATGTCTTTAGGAGATAAAAAATAATAATTTACTGTTTCAAGGAAAAATAAGCAATTGAGTTTTTGGTGTACTGTCTGTTTAAAAGTTTTGGCGTTCATTTAAACAGATATTTATGCAAGTTCTGTTCATTTACTCATCCTCATGTCATTCAAAACCTGTATGACTTTTATAAGCTGCAGAGAGAAAGATTTTTTTATGAACAGTCACTAAATAGAAGTCTGTCGGTCATAAAAAACTAGAATATAGCTTCAGGAGACTTGTAATGTAGCATGAAAATCATATAAAAACTAGTGTATTTTTTGTCCTTTTAATGGAAAATAGTAAGGATAAAAATAAAAAAAATTTGACTTTTTTCTCGCAATTTTGTAAAATTAACAAACACACAAAAATTGTGAAATATAAACTTAGAATTCTGACTTATTTCTTAAAAATAAACAAAAAGATAATTGAGACTTATATCAAAATTGTGACAGAATTTTGAGATAAAACTTTGCAATTACATTTTTTTTTTAAAATTTCTTTTTAATTATTTTAAATATTTGTTTATTTGTATTGTTTTATTACATTTTTTTAACATGGCGTAAACATGTTTCCATAGGACTGAGCTGCACAGACAAGACTAAAAAAAAAACAGAATTGTGGGATAAAAATTTGCAAATAAGTTTATAATTTTTTTATTTTTTCATGGCATAAACGGGCTTCCATAGAACTGGGCTTGCATAGGAACGATTCAGAGGAGAAAGAGTCATAACAGCCAAGTTCTTTGAGATGATTTCTTGTTGCTGACTGTAGAGGAAGAAATGAGGGAGTCAAGGAAAGGTCTGAGCGAGGGGGAATGAAAAGAGAGAGAGATTTCAGAGAAAACAGGTTTGTTTGAGAGAACTGGGCTTCTTTGTGTGCTTTTTTCTCATCTCAGTCCAATGCACTTCCTGTTTGACTCATAAAACTGCACCGTTGCAGAAAACGAAGTGTTTGAAGTCACTGATTTGAGACCGGTTTTGCTGTACTCCTCATAATGATGAAAGTTGAGAAATAGACAGTTGACACTGGATGGTGACTAAATGTTTGGGGGCCTATTCAGTATTTTTTATTGTAAAATAGTGCAGGATTCAGCTTTAAAGGGGTCATATGATGCAATAAAAATTTTTCCTTTCTCTTTGGAGTGTTACAAGCTCTTGGTGCATAAAGAAGATCTGTAAAGTTGCAAAGACTAAAGTCTCAAATCCAAAGAGATATTCTTTATAAAAGTTAAGAGTCAGCCACGCCTACCTAAAACGGCTCGTTCGAACACGCCCCCACATATCTACGTCGCTCTGTGGGAAGATTTGCATAACACCGCCCAAATGTTCACGCAAAGAAAGAAGGCGTAACTTTTATTCTCGCTGTAGTTTTGTTGTTTCCGCCGCAATGTCGTAAAGATGCTGTGTGCTTCGTTGTGAAAGCGAAACTACTTTGTTTGGTCTTCCAAAAGAGGACGATATCTGCTTCGTCATGCCTGGAGCTGATCCGTGCTGGTTGCTGAGGAAATACATCAACTTTGCACTGTGGATCGCCGGATCGGCTTTCACCGTGGACGAAGCGGAGTCCAGCCCGGAGTCGTAACATGTCCTTCCGGACGCTCCTTCGTCGACATCGCCGGCCGCGCCGTTCTCAAGCCCACGCCTCTGCTCACTCTAACC